ACCTTAGTATGGAATCGCCCTCTTCAAGACACTGTACCCGTGTATGACGCCATTACTGGAGTATGCAGACCGGTTTGGAACCCGCACTGATAAAGCACTTCAAGAAAACTAGGAGCAAGTACAAAGGTTGCGACAAGGTTAGTTCCAGTGATAAAGGGACTGTCCTAGAAGTAAGATTAGGGAATCCGGCCCCCATGACGACATCGGAGGACCGGGAGGGTTCAGGGGAGGAGACATTGATAAACGACATTTAAAATTCTGCGCTGGGAATAGACAAGGTGGACAAAGAAGGATGGTCCAGGGAGGGACACAGAAACAAGAGGCCACAATTGGAAGAGAGTTGAAGGACACAAATGAGTCAGAGAGATATTAGGAAGTTTTCTTAAGGTTATAGAGTTGTCAGGCAGTGGAATAGCCTAGTAGAGAAAATGACGTGACGTAGGAGGCAGGAACCAATACAAAAGTTTTAAATGAGGTTTGATAAAGCTATGGAGCGGGGAGAGAGAGGGACCCAGGTAGGAAACCGGTGAAGAGGCGGGGCCCAGGAGAGCTAAGACTCGACTCCTGCAACCACAATTAGGTCAAGTACAAATAGGTGAGTACCACACCACACACACCTCAGGGTTTTTTTTATGGGCATCTAGGTACAGACAGTTGTAAACGTGAAGGGTTCCGCTATTACTTTAGTGTTGAAAAACGGGAATGGCTTGTAAGTTCTCAGTAAGAACAGTAATTGGTACTTTAAAACAAAAGTCAGGGGGGGGCATTTAGGTGGTCACTGACTGGGCCGCGGGGCGTTGACACCGGAACTCTCTCCAGATAAACTCCAGGTATTAGCACTCAAGGTGTATTAAGGCCGCAAAGAAGGTTACAATGCTGATAGGAGCGTTTTAGGTCAGCGTAAGGCAAGCGCAACTGTGTACATGCTCGACACTCATCACGGGCCCATACACACCACACAAAAGCAACACACACAAGTAGTGAGTTAACACTCATCAGGCTCTGCGACAATACGACAATTGACCAGGAGCAACGAAAATCATGTCTGACAGAAGATTTTGTGTAGCCACATCAGGAGGAAAAAACAGTAAGGACCAGTGTAATCAGGTTGAGGAAGGAAGGTGGGGGGTTAAAAAGATACGACCAAAAAGGTATGTGAGGAGCTCAACATAAGATTTTAACAGAAGTATTATTTACCAGTCGGACAGGAGGACTCCCAGGATTATATGAACACAAAACGAGGAGGAAGTGAAGTTGCTATGTGAACGTGATACCAAAGGCGGTAGGACCCAGTCAACGTCTCTCCGTGAGTCCTTAGAGAGGGAGCCAGAGATGCGGTGTGTGCACATAACAAAATCTTCACACATACTTGAAAATGAGGGGCAACTACCTGAGTATGGAAGACGGGCAAAATGTAGTTCCCCATTTTTAAGAAAGAAGATTGATACGAGACACTAAGCTATGACCAGTGTCACTGACGTGTATAGTATGACATAAGTCATGGTGAAGATTTTACTGGAGGTCAGTGCAAACCTCGCTCAAGGAAGAAAGAAGTTTTGGGAGCTGTGTTTAAACTCCAGAGCGGTCTCGGAAGCACACACCAACCACATAAACTGATGCAGCATATGGGAGCCTGAGAATTGCGTTTACAATACCTTAGTATGGAATTGTTCAAGACATGTATCACCGTGTACGTTCAAGCTCATTACTGGTGTGTATGCCAGCAACAGTTTGGTTAACCACAACCCAGGTCAAGCACATCAACAAATTAGAGAATGTGCTAAGGTTGCAACACCGGCTAGTTTCAGAGTAACGGGGAATGTCTACAGAAGAAAGAGTTAAGGGAAATTGCCCTGACGACACTGGAGGACAGGAGGTTAGAGGAGAACATGATTACGACATTACAAAATACTGCGTGGTGGTCGAGACAGGATGTTCAGAGACTCACAGGGGAATAAAAACAAGGGGTTCACCAACTGCAAGTTGAAAAAGATCGAGATGATCAAGGAATGTTAGGAAGGCTTTTCTTCAGTCATACAGTTGTTCAGGAGGTGGACGAGTCTAGCAAGTGAAGTAGTGGAGGCAGGGAACATAGAAAACTTTTAGACGATATATGATAAATAAAGCGCATGGAGCAGGGAGAGAGAGAGGACCTAGTAGCGATCAGTGAAGGGCGGAGGCAAACGAGCTGAGTCTCGACCCTGGCATCCACAATTAGGTGTAAGTACACCAACAGCTAACAACATACAAATACGATCATGGATCCCAGCGACACATTAGATACCAAAAACATACACAACACACATACAACACACACAACACCACTGCAACCACAACTAGGTTGGGTACAAACACCCACAACACAAACAAAAAACACATAAAAAAAACCAACACAAACACACACACATACACACACAAACACACATACACACCACACAAATACACACAAACAATACACACAAAACCAACATACACACAAAACACACATCCACAAACATACACACCACAAAACAACACACACAATCACATACACACACAAACACACACACACCCAAAACACCCAAATACACACAAACACGCATACAAACACAACAAAACACACAAACAAACACATACCCATACAAACCACCAACACCACACACATAACACACACACATACCCACAAAAACACGGAACAAAACACATACACACAAAAAACACACCACAAACACATTACACCAAACACACACACGCAAAAACAACTACACACACACAACCACACACACTACACCAACAAAAAAAACACACACAAACACATACAACACAAACACACACACAAACCACATTACACACACACACAACACACAAACACACACTAACCCAACACACACAAACACACACACACATACACAAACACACCACACACAAAACAACACACACACAAAACACATACACACACCACACCACACCAAATCACACACACAAACACACTACAACAAACACACAACCACAAACACATACACACACAAACACATACACACACAAAACACCACAAACATAACACACACATACACACACAAAACACCACACCATACCACACAAAACACACACACACAAAAACACACACACAAAACACAACACACACAAACCCCACACACACACAAACACACAAACACCAACACAAACACATACACACAAACACAAACACAACAACAAACACACACAAAAACACACACAAAACACATACACAAAAACACCACACACTAAACACACCCACACCTACACACACAAATCACAAACATAAACACACAAAACACACACAACACACACACACAAACACACACACACACACATACACACACAAACAACACACCACAAAAACACACACACAAAACACATACACACCAAACACACACACACAAACACACACACAAACACTTCACACACACAAAAAACACACACACAAAACACCATACACACAAACACACTCACCCAAAACAACAACACCACACACAACAAACAACACACACACATACACACACAAAACACAACACACAAAACACACACACAAACACATAACAAACACCACCAATAAACACACACACACACACAAAAAACACACCACACATACACACACTAAACACAACACACAAAACACACACCACACATCACACACAAAAACACACAAAACACAACACACACACAAAACAACACATACAAACAACACACACAACACACACACACAAACACATACACAAACACACACACACAAAAAAACACACCACATACAAACACATACACACACAAACACACACACACAAACACATACACTACACAAACACCCACAAAACCACACACACAAACACATACAACACATACAAACACACAAAACACACACACACACAAAACACATACACACACAATCACACACTCACAAACACACACACACAAACCATACACACACAAACACACACACACAAAAACACACACACAAAACACATACACAAAACACACACACACAAAACACACACACACAAACATCACACACAAAACACACACAACAAAACACACACACATACACACACTAAACACACACACACAAAACAAAGACACACCAAACACATACACCACACCAAACACAAAACCTAATAAACACACAAACCACACAAACAACACAAACACTACACACAAAAAACACAACACCACAACACCAAACAACCCAAACCCAAAAAAAACCCCCCCCCCCCCCACACAAAACACTTAACATCAACACACAAACACACACACAAAACACACAAAAACACACAAACAATCACACACAACCAAACTCACACACCAACATACAAAACTCTTAACACTATCACACTTGTTATGCCTCAATAAACAACAATAAAATGTCATTATGAAGAGGCAATAATATCAAGGATGATAAAGGTAAACATGGTAGGAAGGATCAAGAGCCACAATGGAAGGAGAGTGAGAAAAAATGAGTTTATGCAAACTCAATGGAAGGATTATGAGATATGAGGCTTGATGCAAGGGATCCGAATGACTAACCACCACAAGGTTCTTTCAAGTATTATAAAGTAAGATTAGGGACAAGATAGACCCACTCAAGAGTAATCAGGTAAGATCCACTGACAGTGGATGATAGGGAATGTAGTGAATTTTTTAACTCTTTTTTCCCTCTCTGTTTATACTTCAGGAAGATACTAGCGAAACTCCAGAAATTATAAATTATGTATTAACAGGACGATAATAAACTATGCAGGATTGTGGTAACTAGTGACTGGTCCTAAGACAAATGTGATGAAATTAAAACCCTAACAAATCCCTGATAAACTGTTTGCATGGGTTTTAAATGAATGTAAAATAGAACTTAGCAAACCACACTGATAATCTTTTCATATATCACTACAAACTGGCATGTGCCAGACAAGTGGCAATATGGCAACTGTAATCTACCTATTTAGATGGCAGGTGACAGGTCCTTAGCTTCGAACTATAGACAATAAGCTTACTCCTTAGGTGTGAGAGTAGGGAAATTTATGGAATGCATCAGTGCCGAGGCAATTTGTAGACATCTGAAAAAGGCATAAATTGATTAAATGTTTCAGCACGGTTTTACAAAGGGGGTTTTCCTGTCTTACGAATTTAATAACTTTTTTTCACCAAGGTGTTTGAGGGAGGCAGATCATGGTAATGATTATGATATTGTGTACTAAGGGTTATATTGGGTATGAGGAAAATTAGGTACACAGAATAGGAGAAATTTTTTTCTGGGTCAGAGGCAATGGGTGACAGAAGGACAGCTGAGAGTTTGCATCAATGGCGGAGATATAAGAGTGGGGGGTATCCACGAGTGGTTGTTCAATGGGGTCGGTTGTTGGGCCCCTTGTTGTTACAATTTATAATAACGTCTTTGTGAGGGATAAATAAGCGGGACATAAGCAAGTTGCTGATGACTCCAAAATAGGTCGTACTAATTTATTCAAATGAGAACATTAAGCAACCCCATGAAGATTTGAATAGACTGATGTAGTGGTAGGAGAAGTGGCAGATGTAGTTTATTGTAGACAAATGCAAAGTTCTAAACACAGGACAAGAAAAAAACCATGCCATATTTAAACTAAATAATGTAGATCTAAATATTACTTATTTGCGGAAATGGATTTGGGTGACGTTCTGGTTTAGTAGTAATCTACAAAACAAGACAACTGTTGCATAAGTGTTCGCAAAATGCCGACAGAAATCTTGGCTTCACACAAAAGGACCAAAAGCAATATGGAGTCCTCAGGTTGTTCTTCAACTCTATATATCTTTGGTTAGACCTATTTCGATTATGCTGCACAGTTCTGGTCCACCGTATTACAAAATCAATATATATGCACTGGAAACGTATAAAAGGAAAATGACAATATTGATTCGAGGGCCCTGAATCTGCAATCTCTAGAAAGGCAGAGAACTTAAAGGGGGATATGATTGAGGTGTATGAATGGAAAACAGAATACAAAAAGGGAATGTAAACAGCGTGATACGAATAATCTATCCGAGGACAGGGGACTCGCAGCAATGCGTTTTAATCGGAAAAATAATTATTCAGGGAAGGATACGGAGAGCACAGGCTTGCAATAATAGAGTTCGTGGAAGAGTATAACAAACTCCCAAAGTACCGTATAGATAGCTAAGATGTTGTGTTAGTTTTTTAAAAAATAGGTTAGATAAAAATTCATGAGTGGGTGTAGTGGTGGCTAGGTGTCAAGACCTTGACTAGCTATGTGCTAGTAGGGTCTGATGTCGTGCCCCTATCTTAAGGGAGGAACCTGACCTTGACTAGGTGGGGCATTGGTTTAAGGCCGGGAGGTGACTTGGACCTGCCTCGCATGGGCCAGTAGATAGACTTGATGCAGTGTTTCCTTTCTTATGTTCCCTTATATCTACAGAGATCAAGAAGTAGGAGTTACATGTGTGCTGCTGAGGCAAAAAGTGCATAGCACTGGCAGATGAACTGGAAGTGCTGAAGTGGAATATAGAGGTGAGGACTGATAGGAAAACGGTGCTGGGATGCAGACATTCCAGGAAAGTTAGGGAGACTGAAGGATGGAATTGAGAAATAAGCCCATTGAGGAAACTGATCATCAGGCTTTGCCGTGACTCGCGGAGACAATAAGGGAAAACAAACCAACAAGTTAATTTCATTGATCCCAAGATATTGGGGGAAAAACGAATGGGAAAGAGGAGAAGGAAAGATGGCTTATTATTAGTGGGTTCCATGAGCAGAAAGACCTATGACGAAAGAAGACAAGGGGAGGTTAAATGAGATTGATAGCATCATCACAAGTAACAGGAGACGAATGAAAAAACTACAGACAATTTTTCAGACTTGAGCAGTACGAAACGGAAAAGAAGCGCATAATCAAAATTGGCATTCACAGACAGAAATGGTACGAAACTAGATTCCTGCAGAGGAAACCAACGGTCATGACAGAAACAGAAGAAGCAAACTGAGAGAGTATGAAGTGCCAGAGGTAGAAAGGGTGGGAAGACAGAGCAGGTACCGACAGATAGGGAAGTGCAGCCTCAGGGGGGAAACACAAACAACCAATGCCCAAAAGACCTACCCCACACTGCATCCCTACCCCTAACAACTTCATACCAAATACAATAACCAGATTCTACTGCACTCAATTTACCAAACAGTCCCCCCCCCCGCCTAATTCCACCACAACACCACCCTACATAATATCCAGTCCCAGTCTACCACACCTCAGCTGCAACTAAACCCCTCACCACTCCCTGAATAGAGTTCTGGTAGAAAGCTGGAAGGTATGTTATCCAATACTTGATGGAATAGCAAATAAGAGTGATGAGTGGCAGAAAAGAATCACTGAGGCATCCCCGGACATCATAACACTCGCAGAGACAAAGCTTACAGGGTAATAACAGATGCAATCTTCCCATCTGGATATCAGATCCTGAGGAAAGACAGGGGGGGAAACAGAGGATGAGGAGGAGTTGCACTGTTCATCAAAAATCAATGGCATTTTGAGGAGATGGGAGGACTAGCCAAGGGTGAAGCAGATGACTACATAGTAGGAACATTTTTAACCGAGGGTTCAAAAGTGATGATAGTGATGTACAACCTGCAACCGAACAGCGGGAAACCAAGACAACAATACGATGAGAGTAACAGAACGATGGTGGCCACACTAGCCGAGGTGGCCAGAACGGCCCACATAAGCAGGGCAAAGTTACTCATCTTGGGGGATTTCAACCAAAAGGAGACAGACTGGGAAAATATGGAGCCACATGGGGGACCGGAAACACGGAGAGCCAAGATGCTGGATGCGGCGCTAGAAAGCTTCAGGTACCAACATATTAGGGACACAACCAGAGAAAGTGGAGACCATGAACCAGCAAGGCTGGACCTCGGACTCACCTTCAACAGTTCAGACATAGAGGAAATAACATACGAAACGCCCCTTGGCGCTAGCAATCATGTGGTCCTGAGTTTCGAATACACAGTAGAGTTAACAATAAAGAGTGAGGCAGCACGAGAAGGACGAGAGAAACTAAACTTTAGAAAACGGAACTATATACATATGAGGTAATTCCTGCAATGGTGCAGTGGGTAAGAGAGCTAGAGGGGGAAAACAGTGAATGACATGATGGAACACATGACCGCAAAATGCAGGAAAGCTGAGGAGAAGTTCGTGCCAAGGGGCAACAGAAACAATGGAAAGACCAGAATGAACCCATGGTTTACCAGGTGAGGAGAGGCCAAAGCCAAGTGTGCTAAAATGTGGAAAAAGTATAGACGGCAAAGGACTTGAGAAAATAGGAAGCTGAGCCGAAGAGCCAGAAATGAATATGCATGGATAAGGAGAGAGGCTCAGCGGCAATACAAGAATAACACAGCATCAAAAGCCAAATCTGACCCAAAGTTGTTATACAGCCACATTAGGAGGAAAACAAGTCAAAGACCAGGTGATCAGGCTGAGGAACGAAGGAGGGGAGTTCACAGGAAGCAACCAGAAAGTATGTGAGGAATTCAGCTCAAGATTCAAGGAGGCATTTACAATTTAGACAGAGAGGCTTCCAGGAAACCGAGGGAGTAAGGTGCACCAAGAAGAGCTGGATATACTGCACACAACCGAGGAGGCTCCTGGTGAAGAAACTGCTAGGAAAACTGATACCTCGATGGCGGTGGACTCAGACATCTCTTCCTGGGTCCTGAGAGAGAGAGAACAGAAGCACTCTGTGTGACACTAACAATAATCTTAAATAAATCTACAGACCAGTGTCACTGACATGTATAGTATGTGAAGTTATGTAGAAGATCAACAGGAGAAGAGTGGTGGAGCACCTAGAAAGGAACGGGCTCATACATGACAACCAGGGAAGGGAAGGGAAATCCTGCGTCACAAGACAGGAGAGAGAGGGATGGATAGACTGCATCTTCTTGGACTATAAGAAGGCTTTCGATACAGTGCTACAAAAGAGATTGATTGAAAAGCTAGATGAGCAGGCAGGAATAGCAGGGAGAGTACTGCAATGGGTCAGGGAATACCTGACAGGAAGGAAACAACGAGTCATGGTACGTGACGAAGTGTCAGAGTGGGTGCATGTGTCGAGTGGGGTTTCACAAGGGTTAGTCCTAGGTCCGGTGCTGTTTCTAGTATTTATTTATTTATTTATTTATTTCCAATTTGTGCACACATACAGAGGTACAAAAAAAATACAGATAAGAGCAGTATGCCAAAGCCACTTATACTATGCATAGCATTACGGGCTGGCTTAAAATTAACTTAAGATTAACTAAGCAATGATTATTATTATTATTATTATAATCAAAAAGAAGCGCTAAGCCACAAGGACTATACAGCGCTGCTACTAAGCAATGATGAAATCAGTGATAAAACATTAATGTAAACAGATAACTATAAAGCACAAGTGAGTATTACAAAGACAGGTCATATGGTTGCATTCAGTTAGGTAGTGATTCTGTTAGGTAGTGTATTTAAAAAATAATAAAGTTAGATTGGGTTTTAGGTTTAACATTTATGTGATATAATTGTGAGAAACATTTAAGATATACAATTTATAATGTTCAGTTATTCAGTATTTATTTGGTTTTGGGTGAGTAAGTAATCTTTGAGAAGAGACTTGAATTTATAAACAGGTTGTGTTTCTTTTATATTTACAGGTAATGAATTCCAGATTTTAGGGCCTTTTATGTGCATTGAGTTTTTGAATAGTGTGAGATGGACACGAGGAACATCAAAGAGTGATCTGTGCCTTGTGTTATGGTCATGTGTTCTGTTGAGGTTGGCAAGGAGATGTTTGAGGGGAGGGTTAATATCAGAGTTAAGTGTTCTATGTATGTAATAGGTGCAGTAATAAGTATGGATGTTTTGTATGGTGAGTAGGTTTAGTGTATTGAATATTGGTGGAGTGTGCTGCCTGTAGTGAGAATTTGTTATCATTCTAACTGCACCCTTTTGTTGGGTAATTAGTGGTCTGAGATGGTTAATTGTTGTTGAGCCCATGCACAAATTCCATAGGTGAGATAGGGGTAAATAAGAGAGTGATTATAGGGCCAGGAGGGCTGACTGTGGAACATAGTACCGTATCTTTGATAGTATGCCTACAGTCTTGGAAATTTTCTTAGAAATTTGATGTATATGTGTATGAAATTTGAGTCTATTATCAAGGTGGATTCCTAAGAATTTTCCCTCTGTTAGTTTTGTGATAGGTGATCCATTTATAAATTATGTTAAGAGGGACATCTGTAGCTCTGTTACCAAACTGAATGAAGTAGGTTTTGTCAATGTTTAGTGTAAGTTGTTAGTCCTCATCCAGGTAGATATTTTCTGTAATTCGGTATTTACAGTATTGGCTAGCGTGACTGGGCTCGGGTGAGAAAAGGGACGTATGTAGTGTCATCTGCAAATAGTGTGGGTTTGAGTAATTGCGAAGCATTTGGAAGGTCATTTATGTATAGGAGAAAGAGAAGAGGCCAAGGACACTTCCCTGTGGGACACCAAACTGTAATTGTTGTGCAGAAGAGTTTGCCCCATTTGCGTACACATATTGGCTTCTGTTGCTGAGGTAAGACTTGAGGTAGTTGAGGGAGTGCCCTCTTATACCATAGTGTGACATTTTTTACGTGGAGCAAGTCATGGTCAACTGATCACAAAGCTTTACGTAAGTCAATGAAGATCCCCAGTGGGGACTTCTTTTTTCTCTATTGCAGTGTATATATGTTCTAGCATGTGTATAATAGCATCATTAGTATTTTTATTAGGCCTGAATCCAAATTGGCAGGGGTTGAGTATGTTTTGGGAGATAAGGTAGGAGTAGATTCGTTTATGAATTAATTTTTCGAAGATTTTTGAGAGAGGGTGTAAGTTGGATATTGGCCTATATTTATTCAACTCTGTTTGGTCTCCTCCTTTGTGGATCGGGGTGACCCTTGCTATTTTGAGTACTGTAGGGAAGGTGGAGGATTCAATGGATTTGTTAAAGTGTTGCAATGATTGGTGATAGCACTTGTGACACTTTTTTGTATATAAAGGGTGGTAAGGTATTTAAATCTCCTGCCTTGTTTTTTAGTGCGTTGATAATAAGGGAGACTTCGTATGGGTTAGTCGGAGCTAGGAACAGTGTGTTCGGGTAGTTGCCGGTGAGGTAGTCATTTGGTGGGGTATCTGAGCTTGTGAATGATATGACAAAAGGGATAGATTCAGAGGTGTTCCTGTTTGCAGATGTTGTGAAGCTAATGAGAAGAATACAAGTGGACGAGGATCAGGTAAGTTTACAAGAAGATCTGGACAGGCTGCAAGCCTGGTCCGACTAATGGCTCCTGTAGTTTAACCCCAGCAGGTGTAAAAGTCATAACGCTTGGGAAAGGATAAAGAACACCGCAGACGGAGTACATCCTAGGAGGTGAAAGGCTGCAAAACTCACTCAAGGAAAAGGATCTTGGGGCGACCATCATACCGAGCACATCTCCTGAGGCGCATATCAACCAAATAACTGCTGCAGCATATGGTCGCCTCGCATACCTAAGAACAGCGTTTCGACATCTAAGTAAAAAGTCATTTAAGATAACGTACAATGTGTACATCAGGCACATATTAGAGTATGTAGCAACAGTATAAAGCCCACACCTGCTCAGACACGTCAAGAAATTAGAGAAAGTGCAAAGGTTTGTAACAAGGTTAGTCCCGGAGCTAAGGGGTATGACCTACGAGGAGAGGTTAAGGAAAATCAACCTGACGACACTACAGGACAGGAGGGATGATAACGACATAAAATATAGAGGAATTGGCAAGGTGGATAGGGACAGAATGTTTCCGAGATGGGACACAGCAACAAGGAGTCACAGCTGGAAGTTGAAAGTTCAGATGAGTCACAGGGATGTTAGGAAGTTTTTCTTCAGTCAAAGAGTTGTCAGGAAGTGGAACAATCTGGAAAACGATGTAGAGGAGGCAGGATCCTACACAGCTTTAAGAGGTTCGATAAAGCTCATGGAGCAGTGAGTGAACCTAGTAGCGGCCAGCGAAGAGGCGGAGCCAGGAGCTATGACTCGACCCCTGCGACCGCAACACACACATACATCACACACACACACACACACACACACACACACACACACACATACACATTAATTATATACTCTCACTATAATACAAGTAGTGTACCCAAACACAAAGCCTCCATCAATACCTGCAACTTCAGGTCTCATTCAGGAATGGCAAGCTAGTCCATCATGCCACATGACTGTCTCCAGTACCTCATGCCACATGACTGTCTCCAGTACCTCATGCCACATGACTGTCTCCAGTACCTCATGCCACATGACTGTCTCCAGTACCTCATGCCACATGACTG